AAATAAAAATAAGATGAAAAAAAACTAGTCAAGAACTAATAATAATGAAAATGATTCATCTAAAATATTTGGACAATCTAAGGCTATGATGTCTATATGGAGTGTAATTTTATTTCTGCATCCATTGAATAAGCAGAATGGATTAGAAATAAAGCAACTCGAATGTTGTGATAAAAAGCAACAAAAATAAGATGAAAGAACAACTAGTCAAATATAATAATGACAATGCTTCATCTAAAACATTTGGAAGACTTAAGACTTACATCTATTTACAATGCTTTCCTATTTCTGCGGCCATTAAATAAGCAGAAAAGATCAGAAATAAACCAACCTGAATGTTGCGATAAATAGCAACTAAAAACAAGATGAAAGAAAAACTAGCCAAAAATTAATAATAATGACAATGCTTCATAGAAGACATTCGGACAACATAAGACCATTACGTACATTTACAATGCATTTCTATTTATACGACTGTTAAATAAGCAGCATGGATCAGAAATAAAATTACATTAACATTGCAATAAAAAGCAACAAAAATAAGGCAAAGTAAAAAATTGTAAAAAATTAATATTAATTTGTTGATTCGTTTTCTACAGCTTGTCAACTCTTTGCAGGTTATTTAAAGATTATTTTTCACATTATTTACATTATTCGGACTATTGTCTTCATCTTTGTCGCCATATTTATCACAACATTTTGGCCGTTGTACGCTCTGGCCTTCTTCAGGTGGTTGGAATTTCGAACACTGGGGTAGACTGTTCTAGTTACATGTTCTAGTGCCATGTTTGATGCCAGTTATCTCTTGCTAATTTCCTTCTGAAGTTGAACTCACACTCTTTGGGTCCTATCACTGGATCTAACCAATGCCTTTATCAACTGTGCCATGTGTCCTTGAGGACATCTGGGTATGAATTTCTGGGTATTATAAACCTAATGTCTTCAGCAAACATTTTTTACCAGTGCTCATATTGCAATTTTGCTGTTATCATTGCATGTTTTTACCAGACTCTGAAGATTATTTTTGTTGAGATAGTAATGATTTAGTGATACAAGTTTTACTAATTAACCCATAGCTGGGGGGAGAAGAGGTGGATTCATAACTACTCAGAATTTGATAAACAAACAATAAACTATGTGAACATAAAGTGGTGGATCTATTCTGTATTACAATCAATATATAAACTGGTCCCTCAATTTATACATTTATATTCCATAGTATATAAATAAATCTAAAAGATATGTCTGTGTAGTTAATCAGTATTTCATTGATTGATTTGTTTTTATGGCTTATCAACCCTTTGCAGGTTATTAAACACTAGAAAATATTTTTCCTAACTAATTAACCCATACCTGGGGAGAGATGACAAGGATTAAGACCTACTCAGAATTTGATAAACAAACAAGAAATTATAATGTGGGTATAAAGTGGGTGATCAATTCTACATTAAAATCAATATATAAACTGATCCCTCACTTTGTTGCTATGGTAGTTTCTATACATTTTTATTCCAGAGACTGTAAATAAATCTAAAAGACATACCTGTGTAGCTAATCAGTATTTCATTGAGTGATTCATTCGTTTTCTATGGCTTATCAACAAACAAGAAATTATGATGTGGATATAAAATAGGGGATCAATTCTACATTAAATTCAATATATAAACTGATCCCCCACTTTGTGGCTACCATAGTTCCTATACATTCATATTCCAGAGATTGTAAATAAATAATAAAGACATGCCTTTGTAGCTAATCAGTATTTCATTGTTTGATGCATTTTCTATGGCTTATCAATCTTTTGCAGGTTATTTAAAGCCAGAAATTATTTTTAGATTCTAAGAATTTTTTTTTGAGATGATCATGAAGATACTGATAAAAGTCTTACTAATTAACCCATAACTATGGGGAGAAGAAGTGAATTCATACTTTTCCCAAGGCTATTTGCACCCAAATGAATATAACAAATCTAACTGGAATCAGAACTCGGATCTCTGATTAACAATTTCCAGGCATTATCCATTACACCACCCGTAGATCCAAGCTTGAAGTACCTGGTACTCTCAATCCATCACCCATGTAGGTACTGACTGGGATTGACATTGTTTAACTTTGTTGATCATACAGGAACCTGTGTTTCAACTTGATATAGCCATAAACCATTACACCGACCTCACATCCAAGCTTACTGCATTTGGTATACACAAGTGGTCACCCATCTAGGTACTGATGGGGCTCGACTTTGCTTAACCTCAATAAACATACAAGAACCAGTGTTTCTACTTAATATGGCCATAAGCCATTACACCATCCTCACATTTTAGCTTACAACACCTGGTGTGCCCAAGTGGTAACCCATCTTGGTACTGACTGTGCTCAATGTTGCTTAACTTTGGTGATTGCACAAAGACCTGTGTTTCAATTTAATATGGCCATAAGCCATTGCACCATCCTCACATCCAAGCTTACAACACCCATTTAGGTACCGACCGGTTTGACATTGCTTAACTTTGGTGATCATACATAACCTATGTTTCAACTTCATATGGCCAAAAGCTATTACACCATGCTCCCATCCGAGCTTACAACACTTGGTAATCTCAAACGGTCACCCATCTAGGTACTAACCAAGCTTGACATTGCTTAACTCAAATGTAAGTCAATCATAATTCTTCAGAGAAACTTTGAACAAATGCCATAGTGAAATAATGATATCTCTGTATGTTCATACACATTCATTCATTCATTTTGTATTCTTTTAATCTTTTTACTATTTAGTTTGCTAAGGCAATAAAATATGTTGTTAACTGTACATAATTGTTTGCATATTAATTTGGGTAAACTCTCATTCATTTAAAAATTCTGTCAACTAAATTTTTCTGTTTTGTATTATCCAATGGTATAGGACAAAACTATTCCTGTCAGTTGAAATTTATGAACTATTTCCTTTAAATCTGTTTTTCAGGCAGACTTTTCAAGTGCACCGTTATCAAGCTTTCTAATACTGATTGGAGTTTCCTTCCTAACCTTTTGTTTAAGGTAGTATGGAAAGCTAACACCTGGATCATATCATCTGATGCTAACAAAGTTTAGGAGAGAACTCAAGAATGAGTTTGAGTAAATGGATGACGGACCAAGGTTTAGAAGAGATAACAAAAAGACAAAATTTATTAAGAGCAACAAAGGTCAGGAAATTGTGGAGAGCCATGATCACCAATGTCCTGAAGTTTCACAGCACATAGAAGAAGAAGAATGAGTTTGAGTAAATGGATGACGGACCAAGGTTTAGGAGAGATAACAAAAAGATAAAATTTATTAAGAGCTACAAAGGACAGGAAATTGTGGAGAGCCATGATCGCCAAAGTCCTGAAGGGATGCGGCACATAAAAGAAGAAAGTTTGAGTAAATGGATGAGTAAAGGTTTGGATAACAAAAGATTAAGAGCTACAAGGTTTGGAGAGATAACAAAAAAGAAAAAAATTATTAGTAAATGGATGACGGACCAAGGTTTAGAGAGGACAAGACAAAAAATTAAGAGCTACAAAGGACAGGAGAGCCATGATCACCAATGTCCTGAAGTTTCACAGCACATAGAAGAAGAAGAATGAGTTTGAGTAAATGGATGACGGACCAAGGTTTAGGAGAGATAAGAAAAAGACAAAATTTATTAAGAGCTACAAAGGACAGGAAATTGTGGAGAGCCATGATCACCAATGTCCTGAAGTTTCACAGCACATAGAAGAAGAAGAATGAGCTTGAGTAAATGGATGGCGGAACAAGGTTTAGGAGAGATAACAAAAAGATAAAATTTATTAAGAGCTACAAAGGACAGGAAATTGTGGAGAGCCATGATCACCAATGTCCTGAAGTTTCACAGCACATAGAAGAAGAAGAATGAGCTTGAGTAAATGGATGACGGACCAAGGTTTAGGAGAGATAACAAAAAGACAAAATTTATTAAGAGCTACAAAGGACAGGAAATTGTGGAGAGCCATGATCACCAACGCCCTGAAGGGACACGGCACATAGAAGAACAATGAACTTGAGTAAATGGATGGCCAAACAAGGGTTAAGAGAGATAACAAAGAGACAAAATTTATTAAGCACGACAGAGGATAGGAAAAAGTGGAGAGCCATGATCACCTGAATCTCCATAGCACTGAGAAGACTTGGCAATTAGTGGAATAAGAATGAAACTTGTATTTTATTTCAAGACTATCGGATTATCTAACTTATAACAAACTGATATATTCCTTTTTTTCTATGTACTTTAGTCGATATGAAAGGAAAACATATAATTGTTGTTTAATTTTTATTTACTCGACGAATCAAAAAGATTTTCTGGAAAGTGGATCAGGATTTTATTTGTCTCCTTTTAATTACTGCTTTAAGATGGCTACACTTTATATTTTTTTTTTTTTTAAAGAAATAATATTTCGAAAACATCCAGACTGTATCACTGTAACAATTTTTCTTCTTTTTTATGGTCGCAAATTAAATGTAGTTTTCTTCTGTTACAGTAGAGCACTCCTTGAGTAATACAATTTTGTAAAGAAAAGAGATAAAAATAAAAAGGAACCAAAAAAAAAAAATGTTGTTTATTTTCTTGGACAAAGCTGTTTTCTGTTTTTCGGTTCGCAAGTAGTATACACTCATTGATTTACTCTTTATCACAGAAGCCCACACGAACTGAACGGAGGTGTGTAGCATCATAAAACGTGAGAGAGACAAGCAGAGCTTGAGAATAAAGAAAAAAACTAAGATGTTGTAATGAAATTTAGTTAAAAAAAAAAGCCTCAATTCTGGTAACCTAATGGGATGGTTTAATATGAAAAAAAAAACCAAAAAAAAAAACCCCAGAACAGATAGAAATAATGAAGAAAAAATACGACAACAAAATGGAAACCATGTCTACCCATAATTCCTCAGTGCAGAAAACTGAACAAAGGCAACAATGTCGCAAATGTGTTCAAAGAAAGAAAAAAAGCAGTAAGCCACAAAGAGAAAACAGACAAAGAGGACAGGTTTAATGGCAGACAAACCAATATTTACTGACAGAGAAGCAGTTTAGTAGATATGCTTGTAAATGTGACAATCAGAAATGCATATACAAATCCACGAATAGAAGAAAAACCTAAATTTGTGACTGCAATAGATACTTAAGTAACTTATGTAAATCAATGGGGACTTTGACATAGTGTAACGGTTAACAAGTATATCTTGCAAGATCAATTGTGACATGGTAGTGAGTTCAATCTTCACTGAGTGCTCCATACTTTACATCTTGTGTCACATTTAACCTATGCTTAGAATATTGCTTTAGGGCACTTCGACATAGTGTAATGGTTAATAACCTTGTCTCAGTAGATCAATTACTACTGAGTAGAGGGTCCGATCCTCACCATGGTACTCCATACTTGTGGCCTTGTGCCACATCTAAGCTATGCTTACAAAATCCCTTTAGAGCACTTCGACATGGCGTAATGGTTAGCAAGTTTGTCTCAGTAGATCAATTATAATTGAATTGTGAATTCGGTTTTCACTTACTTTTGGCCTTATGGCACAACTAAGTTTGACTTAGTAAATTACTACACTGTTGTGCAAATTAATTGAAGGAACTACTTTAGTTTCCTTTTCTTCACCAATCAGTTTTAGATCCACTGGAGTGACAAGGTGTAATCGATTTCTATTTTGTCCTCAGATTAGGTTATTTGCAGTGGTGTGCAGTAAGATGAATCTCTTTTCGGTGATGTATGATGCAATATGATTGGCCTTGAAAAATATAGCGTCATCCGTGATTGCATCAGATTTTTATCATGCCCAGACACTATTGTCTTGACTGTCGATTAGTTGTCCTATGGTAATTGTCTGCGATGGATGTTACTCCAATGAAGCGTACAAAAATTGTAACGCTGCACGAACACAATGGCAAGCCTTACCAGTGAGCAAATCAAAGTACTACAGACTGGCCCGGAAACTCTCCTGATTTAAATCCAGTCAAGAATCTGTGATCAGTATGCAAGTTACGACTCTGTGGAATGGACATTTGAAATACTAACATGTGCACTGGGTCATGTTTCAGTGGAAAAATACAAAAAAAAGTAAATAACAGAATTATTTGTTTCATTTCAATTAGTTTGCACAAGGGTATATATATATATATATATATATATATATATATACTATGTATATAAGACATTAAGGAGTAGTAGGTCTTCTGCCCAAATTGACCTCTATAATCAGTCCAGTATTTACATATGGGCTAATATGGACTGGAGCCCAGGAGCTCCAAGGTTATAGGAGCCTCCAAGTGCCCCCTGATAAAACTAATAAGAAATAAAGATATAAGAACAGATTTGACTAATTTTCAGATTTAATGTGGCTCCTTTAAAGTAATTTGAAACTGAATTTTAACCCCTCTAGCTGGTGTTGCTCTTTTAAGTTCAATGGGATGCCTTGAAGTGGACCCTTTTAAATTTTGATCCATCTTTATATATATATATATATATATATATATATATATAATATTAAATAAAAAATTTTATGTTTTAAACCGTTTTATGTTTTCATCATCATCTAAAAATATATCTTTTGTTATTTTTATTTTTTAATAGACACGATGTGGTGGGGATGAACATAAGTAATGAAGAGGACCCCCAAATTCTATTAGGTCAGGAGACTCATAAGACCTAAATCTTGTTCTCCCTTGACGGGTAATTTCACATTTTTTTTCTTGTTTTTGCTTTGCTTGTTAGCAAGAGGGACAGACCAGAAACTTTGAAATAAGATAGTAAAGGAAAGCTAGAAGAAAGGACTATTGATTGATTTGTTTTTTATGGCTTGTCAACTTTTTGCAGGTTATTTAAAATCAGAAAATATTTGAGATTGTAAGTGTTTTGGGAGGAGATAATGTTGATTTACAGATGCATGTTCAGTGATGTTAAGAGATTTGGTGATGAGTTAGCAGAGACAATTTCAAATTTCAAAAACTAAATTTTTAGTTCCCTCTTTGATTGGATGCACCCCTGATATGAGTGCCCAGGGCTGTTGCGCCCTCTGCCTCACTTCTGTATGCTACTGTGAAAGTTCTATTAATTAACACATTCCAAGGCCAATAACATCAACTTCCTGACCAAACAGCCATGGTGAGATCTGAACCCTGGTCACATAATTTGAAAGTGAATGTTCTAACTTTTCAGCTGCGTACTCATTCAACAAAAATGTTGATAAGCTGTAAAAAAAAACCAAATCAATCTGTACTTTTATTCTTCACTTTCCTCAATAATGTTTTTTCTTTTTCTCATATTTTTTAAAACTCAGTAAATCCTTGCATCTTAGGGGATTTATTGCCTTACTTTATTAAAAACTGTGAACAGGTCAGAAAGAACAGAATGGTATTAAATTCTTACTTACATTGATCGTCAAGTATTCATTTGTGTAAAGGTGTGATTTGACTTTTTCGTTGAATGGTATAAAGATGGGATTCTCTTGAACTTCAACTGTCCCAAGGTCATTTGTTAGATTTAACAGGGATCTGACCTTATCCATTTTAAAACCGTAAGAGAGATGCTGAGGCAATTTGAGGTTCGACGAACTGAGAGGTTCAGTAATGTTTGGAAAATAACAGATGAGATGCGAGTCTCTTTTTCGTTTACAATCCTGTTAAAAAGATAGAAAACAAAATGTGAACAATTTTGAAAAATGTGAAAAATGCAAAAAAAAAATGTGAAGAATTGGAAAAACACAAAAATATGAAAAACACAAAAAATTGGGGAAAAAAACATGAAAAAATGTGAAAAATCGGAAAAACATAAATAATTGGAAAAATGTGGAAAATTGAGAAAACATGAAAATGTGAAATAAAAAGAATATGTGAAAAAAAATTACCCTTCGAGATTAAATAAAACGTGCAGATCAAAAAAACGTGGAAAATGTGAAAAATCCAAAAGACGTGAATAATTGGAAAAACACAAAAAATGTGAAAAACGTGAAAAATATGAAAAACGCAAAAAATGTGAAAAATTGGGAAAACATAAAAATGTGAAAAAAAAAAATTACCCTTGGAGATTAAATAAAAGATTCAGATCACAAAACA